CGGGCAGAAGTATCTTATTACAGGTATGATTAAATTATATCTGTTTGTGTCATTTTTGTGTTCAATTAGCACTTAAACTGACATAGAAGAGACCTAAAGTGTTATTGTCATGTTTATCTGATAGGTCTTGTGTTCCAGACTTTGACATCTATTAGAATATACAAGGCTAGAAGTTGGTTTATCTATGATATTAGGGCCGCTGGGCTGATTATAAGACTGTTAGGTCTCTAACTCAGATAGGTCTCTAACTCAGATACCTAACAAAGACTATATAATGTTGTAAATCAAACTATTTTGGGTTGTTATACTGAAATGCTTCAGCTTCAGTTTACTATATAAGGGGTCAAAGTGGTTTATCATTACATAAGAAAGTAAAGAATTATTTCACTCATAACAATCACACATTACATTTTTTGAAGGTATTTTTTCCAAATTACTAGGGAGATGGTAAGAATATTTTTATTCATATTATCTGCTATTTACAACACTCTTTCTCATGCTGATAAATGAATATCAGTCGTTCTTAACTTGCTTACAAGATCCTAGAATATGTCCAGAGGAGGTTCTTTAGTAAAAGTGTTTGCTATCTGAAATCCTGTAGGGATATGGGTTGTAATTACTAGGGCCCTGCCAAGATTATTTCTTGTGAAGTTTTTGTTGATTTCAATATGTTTGATCCTATCAATGTCAATATGGTTGACTTGTACAATTGCACAAGGATTTCAACCTTTATTTTAAGGTCATCAAGTATGATCTTCATCAACCTGAGTCAGAAAACTCTTCTTGCTCTAGAGTCAAAGTGGGTTGTCTTTGATTTTTTTTGCCTAAGAATTTGTCTTCTTCCTCACTGTGGGTTGGTTTGATCCCACTTATGGTGATCTCGTCATAGTTTTGAGCATCGTGCACATATAGATGTGGTAATGATAGGAAGGTAGTTGGTTTGATCCCACTTATGGTGATCTGGTCATAGTTTTGAGCATCCTGCAAGATGTGGTAATGATAGGAAGGGAAACTTCTCTGCTTCAAGTGATAAAAACACGATGACTCTCTAGATGATAACATTTGTATCCTTTTTTATTAGGAAATAATTAAAAGAGCTCTAATTTTATGTGATTAGGATCATGAGACTGCACAAAAATATAACATCCAAAGACACCACAGGTAGACTTGACACCATGCGCGTAGAAGAGAAACAAACTCAATAGGACTAATATTATTTTAGATGACAGATAACAATGTACAAGACATTGCAGCAAAACTTTATCCTTTGCTCATGCCAAACTTTTGAAGTTAATCTAGATATTCTGCTCCAAGCTATGGGGGACAATCCCGCCCATCAAACAAACTGAAAAGCCTACTCCGTATGCTCTTGGCTGATGGGCTGTATAAGAAAAATTTGCAGTTGATTCTGAATCTGAACAACGTACAATATATATCTTTTAGTTTATGTTTTTACTTTTGGTAAACAAAGTACTTTCTCAAGAGAAGAAGATACATCAAAACCTAAAGGATAAGAAATCCTCAAAAACTAAAGCAAATAAGAAAAAAACTAAGAACATGCATGTAATCTAACACGTTAATGTAAGATACTCATCCTAAAATGACATAAATATCATCTTGTTAGGTCTACAAAAACCTATGACAAGTCACCAGTGAATTTCTTCTTTTCTGATTATAATGGATTCTGGCTATTTCACGCATGACAGGATCTGGCAGGATGTACCAGTACTTATCTTGGTCAGCATGCTTTCTTACTTTTGTTTTCTAGAGCAACTACTGGTATGTTTTTCTTTGTACCTGCAATGAAGTTTATGGTGACTGGTAGTTTGTAGGACCAAATTTAAACAAATGGTGTTTTTGCATATTATTATTTTGTTCAATTTACTCATTTATTATTGCCTAGAATTCATTTTGTACCTGAGTGTCTTATGGGGAGTAAAGGTAGATATTGTTTCTATGCCTATTTATTACCTACTACCAATACGAAGTCCATACTTATAATACTTTTTGTATGAGAGCACTTGGACATAATTCTGTTTATACTTCATTTATTTATTATAGTTTTGTCTTCCTTTGTTAATATTTTAACGTGTGAAATGTATTCCTGACCCAATGGTTTCTAGTTTACCAGGTTTCAGATTTGGGCCCTCGTGCTCTTGCCATTTCATTACCTTTTGCCTGTGTTTTAGGTCTCCTTTCATCTATGATTGCGTCAACTATGGGTAAAGTTGTTTTCTTCTGTGTAGCATTTCAAAGTCATTTTATGTTAAGTTTTCTTAGTTTTTCCCTCATGCTTTCATTTTTATGCTGGTTTTTATTTTTATTATTTATGAAGCATAAAATGAATTGAATTGTACTAAAGTATAACTGTCAAATATCCTCAACACTTTTTTCAATATATTCCTTCTATTGGATGATATTGATGTGGGCCTCATCTCCTACATAACGAATCCCATTTATTATTCCGTAAGACTTGCGTGAATTTTAATAAGTAGTAGAAAGAGTGTTGAAAAGAATTACTAATAGTGTGTTGCTAGAATCAGATAGTAGGTTATTATGGCATTGCAGGCTATGTTTTTTTTTTTTAAGTGAGCAAGTTATGGTTAAAGACAACAGTAAAAATCATTTATGAAATAGGAAAATGGAATACATGCAATGAAAATTGACAAATATTCTACTAAAAGTAACAGTGCATTATAATTGACAAATATTGGACTAAAAGTATATTCATATAAGCATCTAAATCACAATTGTTTTAGCCTCCATTGGCTAGGAATTATTTTTTAGTATGTCTTTCCTCAGTAGACCCGTAAATGTCATACCTTATGTAAGCTTTCCCTACCACCAAAAGAATTGAAAAAGTAATAAGGTCTGTCCAAAGAAGTTTAACATTCTCAACCTAAGATTGGTTTATCAAGGAAGAACGCATTTTCAAGTATTTGGCTTTGGGCAAGGGGGGTTTGTTATAGTTAATTCTGGTGAGTTCAAAGAAACAGTTTTCTTTGGGTTTTTGCAAATGGGGGAATACAGTCAAGTCCGGTGAGTTCAAAGATACAAATTTTCTGACTCCCGCAATATCTGATTATGATTTTATAAAATGTATAAAATGGTAAAAGAAGTTGACATAATCCTATTGTTTCTGACATTAAAAATTATTGAGACCCATACTCTAATTTTCGCTCTCATTAGACCTTCTGGAGTTGCTTCAATCCCTTTGCTGTAGACCATATGATACGGAGTTATTATTTTCTCATTAACACGAGTGATGATGTTGTTGTGCAGTGAGCAGGAGTTTCGTTTGGGCTTATGCCTGCTTCCAGTTTGCAATTCTTATCCTCTTAGCTCATTTATTTTACACTATTGTAAGATGATATAGTTCCTACCCAGTCTTCATGAAGATATTTGGGACTCTTTGGAAGTAAACAGATATATTTTGACATGCATCTTTTTACACTTTTGTAGCTCAATTTAAATGCAGTTCTCTCGATTCTCCTTTCCTCATTCACTGGGTTTGGCATTACAATCAGTACGAACTCTCTGGTTATGGAATTTATCGGATGGAGAAATATTTGGAGGATTCAATCCTCTGTCCAGAATGTTAACATGACAGAGCAACCGCGTCGAGAGCATGTAAATCATCAGAGACGGGAAAATCAAATAGAACATCAACCACAAAGACAATCATCAACGACGCCAGAACTGCCGCAGCATCATGGCAACAGTTGATACAACTAGCTCAGGGCAGTCTTCCTCAACTGACAAGTACTATGAAGATTTTTGTTCTTTTTTAACTCAAATTTTTACACTGCAATCAAACATCAGGATTTCCACTTGAAGGTGTGAGCCAAGATCATAGTTAAAGGGTACTTTCGTATGCTATGTTCTTCCCTTTGACTCACAAATACTCTTATAATGTAATTCAACCTATTTGATGAAACACCCCTTCAGTGCAAATTTGCAAGTTTAGGAAAAGTTACTCGTATGACAAAATAAAGAAAACGAAAGAAAGTTGTTTGCTTCGCGAGGTGTCTTAGAGGGCATGAATTTCATGTAAGCAGATCCGGCTGAAAAGATAATGGTAAACCCATGAGAAATTAACCATTCATGAAATCACAATATTAAAAAATTGTGCACCTTCACAAAATTTGCGCATTCTAATGTGAAGGTAAGCCCCAAAATATCCATTTAAAGAAAAGAAAGAACAGAGGAGTTTATGAACTGCTAATTAATTATTTCATAACCTATTATAAAAATAATTATTATATAAATTGTCTTTATAAAATATCTAATATATTTATTTCATTGATTTAATTAAATAAATTAACAATTAAACTTTTTTTTCTAATAAAAATATATCTCGATTTAAATCCCACCCAACATACAGCTGATCCATTAAACCCAATTGGAGATGGATTTTAAAATACTAAATTGATTTTGGACTGAAATGAACAAGGTTAAACCAAACCTATTTATCCCAAGTCAGACCTACATGCTACAAATATCCATAGGCTAAAAATATCTTAGGGTATTAGGCCGACAAAGTGGAGCACATGATTCTTAGATATTTCACTCTTTCTAATCAAGTAGAACAACCATGCACGACTTCACAACACTCACTCACACGTGGAACGTGACACATGAGAACATTAGACACTGCTCACATGACTCCAGCAATAATATCTACTCTTCCACTAGGTTCAGTTTTAACAAACTACGTTTCTACTCAAAATTCACACAGAAATGTGAAGAAATGGAGACTAAGAATGTCACAGAAAAAACTACAAAAAAGAGGTTTAAAAACTACACAAAAGTTTGTGGTTGTAACTTACAAATTGATTTTATAAAATTAAATTAGTATTAAATAATTTTTTTCTAAAAAACTTATGTAAAATTGAGAATGAAAGGGAAATGGTTAAAACATGTCATTTTCAAATTAATTGTATCACGCGATAGAGATCAGAGGGAGGACGTACAAGACACATATAATGCAGAAAGAGGGAGTTACACAGAGAAAGTAAAACAAAGTAAAGTCGACCAAGTGACCTAATTTCCAATTTGGGTAAGAATGCACTTTGGAAGAGCAAACAATGGTAGCTGTCATGTTATAGAACTCACATGAAAATGCAGATTCATAAAACCTATCCTACCTAATATCTCTAACCATATTCAATAGTTTTGCCATGTGTAACTCATTTCCCACACATTCTTATTTTTTCAACTCATTTTCATTCTTTCCTTTTTATATCTATATATTTGTGTAACCTTCAAATCTCTGTCTCTTCCTGTCCTTTTTTTACTTCTCCAATATACTTCCATTTTTCACTTTTCCAGTTAATATATGAAGAGAAACTGCTATCTCGATCTTCGTCTTCATTCTTCCTCTTCTCATACTTCAATGCAAGCAACCTCCACTCTTTCTTTTCAATATTTTATACTCTTGCTTATTTTTTCTATGCCTAACCACATCTTCTTCTTCATTCCTTGTTCACTGATTTCCTTCTTTACTGCAAGATATTTGTAGGAATGGGAAGTTCAACCTACACAGTATTAAACTTGCAGCTGTTCTTCATAACCAACGCCACTGCATTTTTGACACTACAGAACTTCAGGTAATATCTCTAATTATACATATATCTTCTTCTTTCTTTCTACCCTTTCAAAAAAGGTTTATGATAGATTGTAAGTAAAAATGTAGTATTTCATTAACTACATTATAACGGTTTCTGTAATCATGTATCCATTCAACATTGATTGATTAAAATTAATAATTGTTCATGTTCAAAATTTCTTATCGAATAATATATTTATTTAACCGAGCTGTTCTTTCTTGAAATGTGCTTTTTGTTCTCTTCCCTTCATGGATACTTAATTAGAAGAAGAAAATAAAAGGAGTGTGCTTTATGTTTTATCTAAATCTGGAAAATAATCCAATCGGCATTTAGTTCACAAAATGAGAGAAAATAATAATTGTTGAATTGGTTGTTAATTAAACGAAAAGCAATGTCTAAAAATGAAATATATGCATGCAGGCAAGAGCGATAATATGGTTGGCAAGTAGAGAAATGGTGAAAACCAGAAGCTTGCGTTCCGAAGCATTATTAGTACATATTTCGCCACACCTCTCCATCAAGAAATCACTTCAGAATTTCCTGCAGAGGAGAAAGAAACGAAAATCTTATCAAAGGAACAGTGACAAAAATTAGTCATATTTATATATGAACGAATCCCTGTTCCTTCTCTGTATTTGCTCTGGATACTAATATTTCTTCAATGAAAAAGGTCTCTTTCAACCCACCATCATATATATATATATATATATATATATATATATATATATATGTGACAGTTATATTTTCTTTATTGAAACATGTTAATTAAGTTTGGTGAGCTTGAGAAAAACAGCTACACCATATCTGGTTTGGATGTGCTTTTTATTTTGAGCTACTCAACTCAGGACTCAAGGGATTAATATAAAAACCACCACTTTGTAATATCTTGCAATACACACAAAAGGGGAAATTACTAATATTATTATACTTCCACTAAAAAATATACATAGATTGAAGTGCTTGTTTTTCCTTCCGAAGAGTGCTTATTATTCCTTCTGAACAGTAGAACATTATCGTTAGTTTCAGAACTCTCCACCTCAACCTTCTAGCTGGGAATTTCAGTCCAATGTATAGTTATAACATATAGCACAATTACTGTTGTTGGAAAATCAAAAACAAGGAATGTTTATTTCACTTGCATCTTGAGTAGTTGTAGTTGTTGAAGATGTCTTCTTGAGATCTTCTAGGAAGGTTTTGAACATGGAAGCTCCTGTGTTATTGTTACCAGCGATGATTCTTTGATTCAGTAGTTTTAACCGTCCTTCCATCTCCTTATCTTGTATCACCCTAACAATTCCTTCTTGAACATCCTTTGCCTCCAGCCCGTTGAGTTTTAAGCCTACCTTCCAAACCTCAACAACAAACGCACAGTTCACAAACTGGTCCCCTGCCACAGGGTAGCACAACAATTTCTTTTCGAACTGCAGAGCCTCCAATATGGAATTCCACCCACAGTGTGTGATATAACAAGCCACAGACTCATGCTGCAAAATCTGTTTCTGCGGTGCCCAGCTCACCACTCTGCCTCTGTCTTCCTTCTCAACCCTTTCCAGAAATCCATTCGGCAAGCCTTGCCGCCAACTCGACCTCAACACCCAAATGAATGGCCTCCCCGAAGCCTCGAGCGCCACTGCCAGATTTCTCAGCTTCGCTTCCCCAATCGGACTCACCCAACTTCCGAATGAGATGTATATAACTGATTTCTTCTTCTGCTTTGCCACCCACTTCAAGCAGCTCAAATCTTCCTCCCAAAAGCTCACACTTTTCGCTATCCCATTCCTGCACATAGGCCCTATAGGCAACACGCGTGGCCACCCTTCTGTACCCATCTTCCTGTTTCCCACTTCCAGTTTGCTTTCTTCGGGAAACGAATTCACCAGCAGCCATTTCAGAGCACTTGACCTCTCCAGAGTTCTTTTCCAAAATTTAAATCTCGCTTTCCTCGCAGCCTCTGTTCCGACAAGCCACGGAAGATCCTCGGTCGAAATAACCGGCAGCTCCGGATGAAGGCTGAATTTCCCCTCGTGTTGCGGAAGTCCTGCAAAAGAAAGTAAAACAGCGCGATATCACCATCTATTGGCAAGAACCAAGGGTATAGAATACAAACACAGACAGATGATACTATCTTTCTGTTTCTCTTTCTCATTAACAAGGTAATCAAACAGCGTCAGTAATATAGTCTAAGAGGGACTTCAAAATAACAGTTCATCAGACTGCATAGAAATTCTATGGTATCCGACACTATTTCATTGTTATTTGCTACCTCGGACTTGTAATCATAAACAATTGGAAAATAATGAGTGTGAATCTCACGTTTTGGACGGAAAGGAGTGAGTGTTGAAAAGACTAAACTTTGATGTATATTAATCTGAAACAAAAACAAGATGTAGGGACAAAAGGCAGCAAAGTGTATTTTTAAAGCAGATAAATCCTAGAATCTTCGATTTATTTTTCTAGAGCTTTATGATTAAAGTTTGAATATTTACGAGAGTTCCTCATCGGTAAAAATACAACTATTGCTTTAATGAAATTTTAACTAACATAAAATAGTAATTAATTAATAGAAGAGTTGTAGTTGATAATATTATAGTATGATATTATAGTTACAGAAAGACGGAGGAAAGTGAAGGGAAGACCGTTGTGAGAAAGGAGACGACGGTTGAGCATGAGAGGAATGGAAGCGATGAAAAGGTAAGAAGCGAACATGGCGGGCCAGAACCCAGCAACGGGGATGGCAGACCTGTGGGCCGATTCGATGGCCCAAGAGGCCAAGAGGTCAACCACCAGGCACGCCACCTCACCACCCTCTCCACGGACCTTCTCTATCAGGCCTTCCAAATCACTCGGCATCCTCTTCTCCATGGCCGATTCGATCGCAAAGAAATCTGGGCTTTCCTCCGCCTGGCCCATTCCATCACCCAGGCCCACCCACCTGAGCCCGTCCTCCTGCTCCTCCTGACCGTGAATCTTGCGGTGGAAAGAGTGGGGAAGGACAATGAGAGGGTGAAATCCTTGGGCCAGGAAAGCCCAGGCTAGGTTTTGCATGGGAGTGACATGTCCCTGTGCGGGATACGGAACCAGGATGACTATTTCCTTCTTCTTCATCTTTGACGATCTTGAACTCAGCTTCTTTCTTCTCCCTTCCAAGCACACCTATTTATATTATTTTTTTCAACTGAACATGTGCTTCCAAAACTTCATTTCCTCTCTCCCATTACATAACCATTACAAATACTCCATTTCTGCCTTTTTAAATATTCACATTTTCGACTTTCTTTAACTACTCTTTTAAGACTGAACATTACAAGTTTAATTTTCGAATGTTTCAGTGATTTCTATATATTTATAGAGAAGAAACGTGAGAAGAGTTGACATGTTACTATTGGCGCCTACAACGAGGAACAACTAGATAACGTAGGTAGGTTTGGCATTATTCCAACCATTCATATCACATTCCTTCTATTTTATATACCGTAATTAAACGCTAATCCCACCTTTGTATGCATTATTATTTAACAATCTAACTAATCCTTCGTTTAGGCTAATCACTAAGCACTACATATGATTACGTTAGATACATTAAAGTAAGATTATTTTATATAGGTTATAACTATATATAATAACAACTCTGCAAAAGAAAATGATTCTGAGTGCTAGTTAGACAGATGTTAATTAGACTCCATAGTATTGAATAAGAAAAAATTTAATAAAAGAGTATATTATGCACTATATTATTACGTTTTCTATTATAATATTTGTTCTTTTTTTCTTTCTTTAAGTATCGTGTAATAATGACTGTGTATTGATCATCAATTCTGGTATTTGAAAATTTAAACTTTTCCGCTAAGGAAATATTTTCAAAATAAGCAATGGTTTTTTAAAGACTAAAATCATAATCTCTCCAAGAAATCATGTAAGACAAGAGATACCAATCTCTGATTCTCTTGAGGTTGTCAAATGCGTTATTCCTTTTAGCAAAAAATATCCTTATCACGAAGACCAATGGAGAGACCCTGACTAATAAATTAAAAATTATTAAGGTATTGAAATCTCAATAGTCTTAAGAATAACATTGAAAACTTACATAAACTACCGATTTTCATAGAGATTCATTCGTTATTGTAAAGAAATCATGCAAATTATAAGATATGAGGCACGAAGATTAATGTAATAAGAAAAGGATGAGTTAAAAATTTATATAGGAAATGTATTATTAAAGTGTACTAATAATTTAACTTTAAATCTAATTCAATTTTATAAATTTATAAAGTGAATTTTATATTTATTTTTATATTATAAATTAATTTTATTTTTAGTTAATATAATTTTTTTAATAAATATAATTAAAAAGAATTAAGTTAAGACGGACGTGGAAAGTGATTGGTATGATGAAGAAAAGAGAGTGACATTGAAATGTAGGTCAGAACTCACGACATTGCACTTTGGTAGGCAGAGGCATATGCAGCAGTGCAGAGGTACAAAAGTTGGCATGTTCCTTAAAAAAAAAAAGGAAAAAGACAAGGCATGAAAAAGATGAACAAGTTCCTAAACAAGAACACTATCAGATTTATTTATATATTTATGAGATGGTGGAGCTTTTGGTTCTCTATTCACACACACACACTTGCATAGCATATCAATTTGCAAATTCGCAATTGGGAAATAATAAGAATAGCACGTGTTTATCGTGCAATTAATCAATTGGAACATCCACTCACTCTTCTTTTTAACAATCATTCCATCATCCACTAAAACAGTAAGAGAATATGACCCTTCAACTTTTTTTTAATAACTTTTCATCTTTGCTTTTTGCTTCCTGCAACCCATAATTACCAACTGCACCCACCTCCTTGGTTGTCACCACCATCTCTGTCGGTGCCATCATTGCTAAAGCTGCACCATTGCAGCTGCAAAAGAAGAAGAATAAAGACTCATTTAATTTTGTTTCACAAATCCTATTTGAAAAATCCTCTTTTAAAGTTTTACACGAAATCTTAGCCTAACGAAACCCTCTTTAAAAGTTTTACATTAGTGAAATCTTATCCTAACCAGATAAGAAATTACCATTCAAATCTTTGAAGATAATTGATTAATGAATTTTCAGTTTATATAATATTTACTTTTTCATTTCTATTCTATGACTTAGACACATATTTAAAATTCTAACAATTTTTGCCAAATGATGTTTTAATAGATGTCATTTTAAAAATTATAGATGCCTTGTAAAAGAAAAGAAACTATATCTTTTTCCTTTTTACATTTAAATATCACAGTATATTAAAGTTTGAGGTATAAATTAATTTTAATTTCGTAAATAAATTTAGAAATAAAAATATATTTAATTCTTTTAAAATTATCATTTCACCCTTAGCCAAAGTGACTTTTTAAATTATTATTGTCGACAAGGAATTGTCCCTCTGAAACAATGATGGTGAAGCACAACAATGACAGCAGTAGTGGTATACTGAGAGGTGTTTTAGTCTTTTTCTATTAGTATGGAGTGTGATTAGTAATAAAGGGCGTGCAGGAAGAAAAAGAGCGTGAAGATAGCATTCTGAGTTTGCGCTGTTGACCAGTTTCTGTGGTTCAATCCTACATCCATTTAAACATATCAGTTGTGTAATTATTTTTTATATTATTAATTTTTTGTTTGTAATTGAATTGTTTAG